AAACAAAAAACAAAACAAAAAAAACAACCAACAACAAAAACCGCCCAGAACTGTCAAACTGATTGAAGCCAGTGAGTTTCCAAGGAATTATTTTCACTATAGCAAATGCACCTTGAAAACAAGGCATTGCATATAAAGCTGTAGGTTTAACACTGCCAAAAAACCTGAAAGAACTAGATTAGTTTTTAATGATACGAACAGTTCAGTAAAGATGGTCTTACTGGATGGTGAACATATTTTGCATAATACATGTCTTTTATGTTTTGTTTCAGGAATGCAGTAAAAAACAGAAAAATGATGATACGGAAAGTACATCTGTTGATGCGTTGAGTTCAAGTGATGGTTTTGAAGAGGTAATGTTCCTTCTAAAAATTGTAATATACTCTTTGTATTATTTTTTTGTTGCGTACCCCAGAGGAGGTGATAGGTAGAGAACTTCCAAGTACTAAATATAACACTCATCAACAAGCAGTTGTAAGCAATTATGGGCACTTCTGGTCAGCTCCTAACATGACAATCAAGAATCTTTAAAAAAACCCTTACTGTGCAGACACAAAACAGAAATTGAAGTTCTAAAAAATTCTTTTTAAGCATCAAAAATCTCACATCAAGTCTTCAAAACAGAGACAGAGCTTGTAAGGAGTATAGAGAAGCTTTGATAGTACAAGTGCACAAAACATCTTCTTTATATGAGACAAATTTTCAGATTGCCTCCTGTTCTTCAAGAGATGACTGTTTCCCTGAGCATGGGTTCTTAATTGAGGGGTTTTTGTGTATTTTTTTTTTTGCAAGTAGACTTGTTATGTTACACTTCTATTCAAGTATTCCTTCGTCCCACAGGTGAGCTGCCAAAGCTATTGTAGCCAGAAGCATGAAACTCTTGATCTTACAGTATATGTTCAATGTAATTGTAGGACTGCGTTCTGTTTGTTTTACCTCACAGTAAAAAGCCAAAGCCAACTTGCTGTTCGAGAGGCATCTGGCTATTCAGGAGGTTTTATAGTTCAAGTAAAAGTTCTCTCAGTTGCTTGGTAAGTTGATGGAGACTGTCAGCTCTGAAATGCAATGTAAATCAAGTTACTAGAACATGGACTAGAGGACTAAATTTAGATCTATGTTATGCTTAAATATTTTGCAGTTTCACAGTAATAATAGGAACAGAGCCATGAAGAAGGATGGAACAAATTATTTTGATTACTTCTAAATAATGTTGGATGTTATGCAAATGTCATGGATTGTCTTGTTTTAAGCAAAACAGTGACAGCATGTTTACTCTTCAACTGGGTCATTGCAGAGGTCTTGAAAAGCGGTCGATTGTTATTAAATACTTGTTTACTTTTTTTTTCCCCCAGAAAAATGAGTTTCATACATTGGCTAATGCTAAAATACTCCTTAGCGACTGCCTAGCTTGTGACAATTGTATGACGTCGGAAGAAGGAGCGAGAGTTTTCCAACAGAATCAGAAAGAGCTCTTTTGTATCCTTAACCTTAATAAGGTAAAGTGACACAAACAATAACACAGTTTTTTGTGAGGAGGCATTTACAGAATGACTAAGCAACTTGGTTTCCCAAGGCAGATGATGTGAAGATTTATCAGGATATACTTTTTCCAAAGAGGAAGTGAAAACTTCAGGCAAGATGAACATTAAAATTCTTAGAAGAATTTTGCACTAGAGATGCAAGGTCACAGCATTTAACCTAAATACTAGAGGAAGGTTACTGCACCTGCAGAAGTAAAATTTTTGGAAAACATAACTACTTTCTTATGGTATGATCAACTTAGTCTGTGGTTCAGTGCTTATAAGTACTCATACCTTCATTGCTAGGACGGTTCTGGGTGGTTTTGGTGCCAATGTATCCACATAATACAAAGTTATCGAGGCATGTTTTTGAAATTAGATTTGTTTTTAATATGTATTTGAGCTGACTGTGTTTGGAACAGAATTTTTTGTCCAAATTCTTAGCAAAACTTATAAAAGTGTTCTATTGCTATCTTATTTTCTGCTGAGATCTGAATTTCCTGGAAGCTAGTTGCTATGTACGGTGCTCAGATGTTTAGATCTTGATACTGAATTAATTATTTTAGTTCTGCTCCAGAGTTCTGTGTCTTTACTTGGTATGCAAAAGCTACTAGAATTGATGCTTTTTTTTTAATCTGTACATGAGTGCCATAAATAGGAGGATTCATTACATAGTGATTCAGTTTTCTTAGAACTAGTTTGATGCTCCATACAGTATGATGTTGTTGTACGTGAGAAAAAGAGAAGAAAAGGGGGGAGAATACCTTTTGGGTTACGTGGGTCCTGTTAAGAGAGCCTGAAGTCTACAACAGGGAGGCAGCCAGGTATGTTGATCAGAACTTCAGGGGTCCAGAAGAGGACAGTGAGCAACAGAGATGCTTTCCAGGCAGTCATGAGCTCTGCTTCAAGGGTCATCATACAGCATGTAGGGTGTCTTAAGTACAAACTATAATCCCTAACCTTTTTAGGGTGAGATTTGTCTGGGGCATAGTCCTGGTTTGTCCTCCGAGGGTTCCACTGGTGTGGAAAATGTCCCAGCTAAAACACAAGATTCACCTTCAAATAAATGTCACAGAGCTTTACGATTGCACACCATCTTGGATATTTTCAAAGGGTTCTTCAGTGTCTGCAAACACTGGTTTGTTGAGGGTGCTATCTTGCCAGTTTTCCTCAGCAACTTCAGTGATGGAGACACAGGAGCCTTAACAAAGGATGAGATCAGTAGTTTGCTGGGTTGGATTTGTAACTTCAAATGCCCATGCTCCTGTAAACATTAGTTTATCTATTTATTAATGTTCAAATGTACAGCTTTTTTTCATATTTACTAGAATGTTTCGTATTGCTAGAGTGTCATAGGTGCTGAATGTCTCGTAACTTTTGCCATTAGGAGACCAACCACAGGATTGTCCTAGGAGGGGTGGATTTCCCTGAGTTAATATAAATGAAACATCTACAGCTGATTAGAGGTGAACACTGACAGGATCAGAGGAACATCCTGTCCTGCCCTCAGGAAACTTGATCGTTGTTTCATAGGGGTTTTAATGGTATGGCCGATTGAAGCATAGGACACTAAGAAATAACTCCGGGAGTGGAAAAGGGAGGGAAAGTAGGGAACCTTACCCTGTTGTAATTACATACATTGTTTCCTTTGTTTTTGTTTTGTTTGCCAGAAATGTGATACCTCAAAACACAAAGTGTTGGCAGTGTCTATATGCCCTCAGTCATTGCCTTATTTTGCTGCTAAATTCAGTCTCTCTGTGAATGATGCAGCCAAGAGACTCTGTGGTTTCCTCAAAAGTCTCGGTAAGTTTGGGTTTGTTATGATGGTGGAGCAGAAAGGGGAGATTACTTAGGGTTTTGCTTCCTCAGCAGAATTCTTTGTTACACAGTCATAAAGTGCCCTTGCATAATCTAGTTTAGAGTTCGAAATACGCACTCGGTGATATTAATGACAGCGCACCAGTATGACATGCACCAGTTTCAGAAATGGATTGGAGGCATTACCCTGTTGATAGTAAAGGTCACAGAATAGAAGAACGTTGTAGAGCTGTCTTCAAAACCTTCACTGCCAAGAAATCAGGGAGGATTTGGTCATGAGCTTCATTAAGATTTACCCTTATTTTGTAAGTTGAGAGAGGAGGGAATTCTTATCCTAAATACCATCCAGTCCTTTTGACACATTGTGTCTGTAGAAGATTCTCAGTTCTGTTTTTTTCTGTAATTTGAAATTACATGCAAGAACTGTTGTATCTACCTATGTTATGTCAAAGTTGTTTTTCCTTTGCTCTTTGTACTATATATACATAGTTTTATTTTAAAAACAAAAAACACTTTGCCTATAGGTTTGGGGTGTTTTTTATGTGCTTGAAGGAGGAAGGAAAAGGACAGTAATAAACCTATGGACTGCTTCCTCCCATATATGTATATTAATTTTTCATAGTTTTTATGCATCTCTGTACCCAGTATATTTTCTTCATTTAAAAGGAATGCTAAGTTCTGGTGGGCCCCAGTTTTCTTAGAATGTGTTGATTATCTGTGCCTCACTTGCTGCAGGGACATGCTCAGTATTACGTAGGCACATAGGGAGTACGTTGCTAAAGAAGCAGACAGAAGGTCTCTGCTATGTTGGTGATATGCGCGTGTACCTTTGCAGACAACTTCAGCAATGGAAGATATGCCTCTTAGCTGGCTATATTTTTTTGTGGATAATGATATGCAACTTCAGCATGTCTTGAAAAGAATGCTTCTTTTCAGGAGTCGCTGCATATAGCTTAGGCATTGTGAAATCCCATTCAGTTAAACAAAAAGCAAATACATGCTGAATGGCAAGCTTCTTGTAAGGAAGCAACTATTTGAAGTGTTGCTAGTCAGCATTAGCAAGTTGGTGGTCCTTTTAAATTCATGACATGGAAGATCGCCTTTCAATGTATGGCTTTTATTTTTTCACGCTACTATTTGTGAAAATTTGGAGAGGGGAAAGAATATACCTGTTGATCCTCTAAGACTTTCTGTAGACCTGGAACTTGCAAAGAAGCCTGCGAGATGGAAAACATTCTACTAATTCACTTTTCCTTACTGCTTTGTTTCACAGGGGTGCATTATGTATTTGACACCACTATAGCTGCTGATTTCAGTATCCTGGAGAGCCAGAGGGAATTTGTGCAGCGGTATCAACGGAGAAACCAGGAGGAGCATGCCTTACCAATGTTTGCCTCTGCTTGCCCTGGTGAGAACTGATTTGTCCAACCTTCCTGCACTTCGGCCTAGTCTCTTTGGAACTATAAAGGAACTAAGGAAAGGGTGGTTTCATTTGGGAGCCTTACAAACTTACAGCATTTTGGCTTTCCTTTTGAGAGATACCAAGTGCAGCACACAGTACCTGTTACCGGTAGCACTAATCATCCTTAGTGCATTTCAGTGCATTGCTAGATGGGCCTGTTTTTCATGGGCTGTTGGGAGAGCAGAATTTGTTTCCAGTGAGCATCATCAGCTTTCTCATATTTAAGTGAGGTGCCAGAGACATAAATGTGAACCGTGTAGACAAAGAACAGGTGTGATCATGCTGGATGAGGCATGTGCTAATGCACTGTAGGGCCCTATACAGTCAGATACAAAGGTTGCAATAAATTCTTATCTGTATCTTACAGTTGTCTTCTGTTGGAGGTCTGTAAAAGGTGAGGAGTGTAAATTCTATTGTTGCTCTTCACAAAAAAAAATCCCACCAAAAAAAAAAAAAAAAAAAAAAACAAAAAACCCAAAACCTTGCTGTAATCCACAGCCTCTGATAATACAAAGAACCTGAACTACTGATTTCCTGTGCTAGTGTTTATATGTGGTATTTATTAGTCAGAAGCATATACTACATACGAATCTCTGGATAATGAAACTGAGGTACAGAAGCACGGAGGTTTTTACTGGTTTGTGTAAGACCTTAGGAGAAACTAATCAGAACTGGAATTGAGGAGTTTGTGGCTGCTGCTTGTGTGTCCAGACCACAAAATTTAACGTGGCATTTCCTTATTGAAAAGAATCTTTAAGGAACTTTACTAGCTGATATAATTAAACCACAACCTCTGTTATCTTAAGCCGGTTTTGAACTGGCCACTTAAGCCTAGGGGAAAGTAGCAAGTGACATTACTTTTAATGACTGTGAGATGGTTATGTCTAAGACAAAGTAATTCCCACTTGAAATGTCACAGACTTGACTCACTAAATGTCTCACTTCTGAGAACTTTGCACCTGAGAACTTGATTTTGGTATGAACAGAACCTGCACTTAGCAGGACTGAAAAGATGAGAACCTGCACTTAGCACGACTGAAAAGATGTAGAACATTCGGTCATTGTTTACTTCTTCCATTTGTTAGCACACCATCATTTCAGTTTAAGTATGATAAGTCACATTCCTAAAAAAAAAAAGTGTCAAAA